CATCCAAAACGAATATTTGTTTACATTCATATTTATTTATTGTATGACATTTACCTCTACATTGTGCCATCTCGCAAAGGTATGCTTCTAGCCACTGTTCTTTGTGCACGCAAGGGAAGTCTTTCCAACTTCCGTAGTCTCGTTGCCACCCTTCTGCCCCGTCCACGGCCATATACACACACTCTCCTGGCGTCATCGACGGTTTATTTTCTTCAAGCTTCCAATTGTTATACGCGAATCGGTCCAGCTTTTCACCATCTAGCCATGTAAATTGTTTGCCTATTATTGGGTTTTCTCGTAGTCCAATCCAGGCGTAGGTGTTTATAGCGTAGTACGCGGACCAGAGCCATTGTGATAAGAAATTATTCTCCTCGTACGTCTCGATCTTCGCAAGATGCGCCACTTCATCGCAATTTGGTGATCTATGCAACCTGTTATAGATGCCATAGCGTAAATGCCCATTTTTTTTAAACAAACATGAAAAAAAATGAAGAGTAGAACGAAGAGATTCAATTAAAATATATATTTATTGTTTCATTGTATATATACTACTCCTGGTTTAAGATACCCCGTATTTTAAGCATAGTTACGCAGGCCAAAGCCATTACACAATCGAAATAAAAACTGAACAAACACATAAGTGTGTTGTTTAGTGCTGAACAGGTTTTCGGCTCCAGCTCTACGATGTAGGCCTAGATCACATGTAAGTAAATATGTACGTTTAAGCAACTTACGAGTATTATAATATAGATGACCGCAAGTTATATGCCATGTATATAAAACATAGATAGGTAGAAATATTCATGTTTAAATAAAATAGTGTTCAAAATCTACTCCGTTTCTCATTTGATTTTTTAAAATTATTATGTTATGCATAATCTACCAAATGTTTTCCTATGTGTGGTCCTATAGTAATATTAATTTCCCTAAGACAATACTTAAGTTTTAATTTAAGTAACATGCACCGGTATAAAGTATGGCGTACCTGCATAGATCTGAAGCCTCAAGCCAGTTGGTACTTTTGTTAGTTCTGAAAACTCGATAGCAACTATTTTCGTACGCTGTCCATGTTGGCGGACAGCACGCCGTAGATTTTCCTGTCAGCGACGAAACGATTAACATCAAAAGCACCAATGCCGTCATCTTGATGTCTTGATGCCGAATCTCTAAATAAGTGCAAAATATGATAATTATGGTATTATAATCGTATGCCTTTATGCACATCAATTATTCAAATATAGTCATACGATATTTAACTGATTTTAGCCTAAATGAATCATGAGTGGAATTGCATTTC